TAGGTGGTTTTGTTACGATGTAACCTTTATGACTCGAAATACCACATGCCAACTATAACGATTAAAAGCGGGTCCGCGATGTAACCTCTCCTCTTCCGTCCCATGTCAAATTCTACGTCTACAAGTTGCTAGTAAAATCCCCTATAAAAGGGCTGCAATGATGCCCGTTTATAGTCCATCAAAACCACCGTTTTCCCATTTTTCCTGGTTTCTTTTTTTTTAATGGAATTCCCAACTCCCAGCATCGATTCTCCGATGCAGTTGGAGGATACTTTAACTACTACCACAAGTGGATCCAGTGCAACCAGGTACATCAGTGGTGAAGATCTCTGGAGATAATGGGATCTCCATGGTCCGAGACGCGAGCAAAGGACAAACCTGTGTAAGTCCACCTGGTGGAAACGTTAATACGACAATTAAACGATCGTTAACGTCTATCCTGTGGGCCCTCAGCGCTAACGATCCTTTACGGTCGTAATATTCTCATCGGAATCGAGCCATGTCGGAAATTGTAACCCTTTTGCACCACTCCGTTTAATGTAACGTGCAACGTTTTTATTCTTAATTCTTCAAATTGAAAAATGAATTGCAGATGGACGAGTTCTACTATTGTCGATGGAAGGGGGAGGGAAATGGTTGTACTGATATATTCTAGTAATTAAAACGGCCTGTGCGCCCCTCCATAGTGAGAGCGGTTGCGTTCAACATCGTTGAATGGAAAATTGAGAATGGGGGGTTTAAGAAAAATTTAATTATATGAAATGAAGTACGGAAGTCCTAACAAGTATTTGTAGCCTTTAAAAATCATAAAAATTTCTTTAAATTTCCTTCTGTTTTCCAGCCTCAGTTATATTTTATCCATTTTCTTCTACCTCACGGCACGGAAAATTTTTCTACTTAATATTCTTCATTCTTTGAAGACTGTTTCATTAACATAATTGGTATGGCAGAATAATGATAATAATTCCAGTGCTTGGCAATTATTTGGTATTGAGTGATTTGGCTTGTAGAAATCAATCAAATGAATAATCAATAATCACATGGAGAAAATGGTTGAGTAAAATGGCAGTGTGAGGCCTCTGGAATGAGGAATGATTTTTCCAGGAGTTTCAAAGTTTTTTAGGGAGACCCATAGTGGCAGTCCCACACAAGGGGCCGGAATGGTAAACTGGAAGTTGGTGTGTGGAAAAAATTGAATGCAAGGACATGGGCTCATTATGCATCTCCGGGTGAATATTAATGTCTGATTATACATTCCTGCTCCAACGTTCACCATTTATTTTTCACAAAGATGAACCGGCTCGCCATTGCCATCCACCGAACGAGTCATCGACTCGCATTGAAATTCGCATGAAGCTGGTACTTTGCAATTAGATGAAGTCACGAAGTAATTAGAACGGAATATTATTTCTTTGAAGTATAGTGACAGTTAGCCTTGACCCGGCTGTTTCGGCGCTCTTTTGGAAAGAAATGCAGACATCATAATGCGATAGGTCGAGAGTTTTCTGCGATTGTTGAGCTAAGGTAATGCGCCATTAATCAAAGCGTGCTGCTTTTTCACTAACATTTACGATTTGTTGTAAATTATACGAGAGTTTTTCGTCTCCTTGTAGACAGATGCGGATACACTTTATTCTGGACACACGTCCTCGGAGAAGAGCGCCACTTTAAACTGTCGAATCTCAATGTTTATTGCAGTGAAAATGGGTCGAGGGGTGGGAGAAGAAAGAAAACGTTTATAAATCATCAAGAAACATTATTATCGCCGGTTTTCTTTACGTTTTTCAACGAGTACTCCAAACGGTCATTATTCATACTCATTGTTATTGAGATTATGCGGAGCAAAAGGATTTCTCAATTTCACGAATAATCCTCTGATTTTTCAAAACTCTCACTTGATCCAAAAATCATTTTTTAAATCACAAGCAATTCAGTGGATCGGTTAATCTCGGAGTAATTGAATAATTCATTATCACGAGTCTTTTTCTGTGTGAATTAATTAGTATTACGAATTAACTGTCAACTGTTGGGTGAAGAAATGGTAATTTCGAAAAAGGTCTAATCTTTCAAGTGTGATTTCAAAAACTGTCAAAGTTTTGCCATCTTCAGGAGCACCAGTGAAGCTCTTGTCAATATCAGCTGCAAAAATCTATTCCGATTTTTGTGATTTATCCGAAGAGATAACACCCGCGGAATGAGTGAAATAAAAAGACATTCCAAAGTGAGATAATTTTCAAATACTGATAATTTACAAAAAAGATTTTTCATTTTTTCCACTTTACTTTTACATAGCAATCAGATAAACCGCAGAATTTCGTATATTACTGAGGTGCGGGGTAAAAAATGCAAAGATAAAGGGAACGAGATTCGGCAGTTGGAAATCGCAGCCGCAGGTACTTGGTGCATTCATCTAGATAATCCGAAAATTATCACCTGCAATTATCCGCACAGTGTGAAAGACTCCTTGGGACCAGACCCCTGCAATCTCTCCCCACTAATGTCATTTTATTTCTAGCACGTCCAAAAATGAGTGATAATTTCTGGTAATGTTAAAATCTTTAATTGGCACTGCCTCAGGTGGTCGTTGCAATGAACCGATGCATTTGCGCTTCGATTAGGGACACGATGCATATCCACCTGATTTGATATATCGTTTGAATACGAGGTACATACAAATTAAGGGATATGCTAATTTGAGTGCAAATTATACCTTTCATCATCCCCAGTGGTGAATTCATTTTCCCAGCTGGGGACATTCTAACCGACTGTCACCCGAGGGTTAACTGCTCGTTATTTCCACGATCGATGCAACAAATGCAAATCCTCCATTTTCCATAATTTTTCTTCAATATTCACGGCTGTGGTGTATTCGGGATCTAGTCAATGGTAATATACCTGGAGTATATTGAATGAGAAAAATTTATCAATTTTACTTCGCGAAGAACGTGGATGCAAGATAATAGGTTGAATGGCCATGAACATCAAGAGACCTTCACTGTCCACTGATCCGACCACTTATTCTTTACTTGCTGCTCATGTGCAAGAGTAAAGCCTCGGAATATTATCGATGCAGTGGCAAAAATCCGGACAACATGCGCATTAATTGGTGAATAAATTGAAAGGTGCTGACGATGGTGTTCGATGACCATTTCTCTCTTTTCCTCTATTCCGTAAACTGCGATATTTATTTCGAGTTTTAATGCAATGTTTTACCAAGTAAAAAATGCTCTCATAACAGAGAATAAGTTTTTAGATCTAAGGAAGTTCTCCTTCGCGGCTCTGCAAAAATTATTCTCGGTTTGATAGAACTTTCTGAGCCTTCAGAAAAATAAGTAAAGCGAAATAAAATTGTCGAAATGGAACGGCTACGAGACCCGCGGATGAAGGTGACTGAAAAGTCAATAGACATTTTTAATTATTTAAAAATATTCATTCATTTTATGGACATTTTTTCTTCTAGAGTTCGACTTTATCGTTTTAGTTTACTTTTTGTTTCATTTTTCGTCTGTTTCACATCTGAATACATAGAAATCAGTGACACGTACATTAAAATGGATTTTTCACTTTGTCTCCAAATTGTGCAGCTTTTGTAGTTGCTGTAAGAGAGTGCGTTTTTAACCTCGATAATTCATTTTTCAAGCGTTTCACGTAAAAATTGTTTGTCATTTCTTTAAAATACGCCGCTCCGCCATGGCGTTATTCACTATTCAATGAACAATGTATTTCAGATAATTTTTGTTTTGGCGGCATTGGGTTCAATAAATTTCCACATTTTTCGGTTCACGCAATAAGATGCCAATCAAACATGGTACAATAAAAACCACATATTCATTTCATGGATTCACCACAAATTTTTGTCCCATATCTATTCATAACTGTAAACAGTATTTTTTGTTCTCCTCGAGTCACAATAGAAATTCTCCAATTTTCCCAACATATCCACAAACTTATTACATGATCGTTTTTTTTCTAGAATTGAGAATTTGACGAGTTTTTTTGTTTCTTTGCTAGTTCAAGTTCTTTCGAGAAACGCAATAACAATTATCATAAATTTTAACTAAAAATCGATTACATAGCTGTGTTATTGTATTCGCCAATACTTGAAACTCAAATTAATGCTGCATTTCTCATCGTTTCTGGATTAATTCAAAATAACCACTCATGATGATATTACAACGGCGCTAAATTTCAGTACGCAGCATAAATAAAGTTAAATAACTATAAAACATGAGATCACGATGGAAAATGAGGTGAAATATCATGGGGTTTCTAATTTCAATTAAAAATTGAGGTACAGCAGCTTTTTACATACAAATGTAATTAATTTATGCCCTCGAACATTGATTACACGAAAAAATACATCTACTGCTAAAAATTTTCTTCTCTCGATTCTACTTCTGACGAGTAATTGCATCAAAAATTACCCAATATTTTACGGCAGTACGACAGAGTACTTCGGATGTAACTGCAATTACTACATTTTGAAAAAATATATCCATTTATGAACTGTGTATTATCCCCCACAAATTCGAAGAATTGATTGTAATTTTGCATTTATTACCGCAGTTCACCTAAACAAAATAGTGAAAATCCATCCATCAATAGCAATGACTGTCCCATGATTCTGAAAATTAATATTTCATTTCGAATAATCCAACCTATCAATTTTTCACTAAATAATGAGCTCTAATCCATCTACACTCAACGTGACTAAATGGCAATGAATCATGCAGTAATCAATGAAGTATGAGCAACCGATCAATACCCCGAAAGTCAATGGCCAAAGAATGTTCAATCTGCCTGTTCTGAAACTGGAATGTGTCAACTCAAAACAAGTATCAGTAAAATAATTTTTTTCCATAATAAACAACAGAGAGTTGTGATAATACTCATATCAAATAACGGAATTGAAGAAAAAAATTAAATAAATAAAGATTGAAATTTTCCCTGTTCCCCTCGACTTTCAGCTATTGTATAGAAAAAAAAATGGCATCATGGGATATACAATATAGATATCTGTATGTATATATGTACACAAAATTTGTATCCTTATTGTTAACAAAATAGTATATATGTTACAGTCTTTTCTTTGGTAACGAGCCAAAGGCTGATATAACAGTGGGTTTGGGCCCAGATGTCGATGACGTTAGAGTTGTCAAGGTAGGTTGTGACAACAAGAGTGTTGGTTTGACAGTTGTTGTTGTTGTACCAGTGGCAACCTGATCCCACTTGCTTTTTCTCTTCTTGGCATCATCCTCAGCTGTTGTTGTTGAGCTGTTTGGCCGCTTAGCAGTACCCGAGATAATTTCAATTTTCGTCTTCTCTTTTCTCGCTTTCTCGAGCTTATCCATCTCCATTTTCTGTACCTTAGCCAATTCCTCGTAGTAAGAATCCTTACCCCACTTGAATGGATCAAATCTCTCTGGTGGATAATTCGTACCTAATTCATTGATACTACAAAATTGTATAAGTTTCTCATAAATCGATGGATTTCTAAAATCCTTTCTCAGTTGTATTAACTTATTCATATCCAAACCACCGCTCTCCATTTTCCTAAAAAGTACAGATATTTTATCCTGCAATTCAATTGGACACTGACCAGTTGGTTCCGGCGGTATAGCAACACCATCGTTATCACCATCATTATCACCAACAGCATCTGAAACTAATTCTCCCAGTATCGAGGGTGACGGCTCGAGTTTTATCAAGGTGAGACCATTTTTCATATTATGTACATTGGCCACCTCACTATTAACTGTCGCTGTACCCTCGTCATCGGAGACAACAGTATCATCAAAATATGAAACTAAACGCTGGACCTTGGACGTTACATCGGTAACTAGGGTGGGTGGATTTGACAATATTGATATCGTCTTGCTCCCAATACTGGTGTCAACGTTGGGGCTATTTGATGCTGATCTACCAGATTTGGGACTGCTGATACCCTGGGGCTGACCGACTTGGGAATTATGAGGTCCAGCCCCGATGGGTGCCTTTGCATTCTCCTGCTGTTCTTCATCCACACCATCCTCACCCTCCGAGTCGGTGTAGGTGGCCGTTAGAGATGCCAGAGCAACACTTTGTACAGACATTGTTAGTTGGCTTTGAGTGTCCTTTGAGCTACCAATCAATATTTTGTGTTGGAACTCACCGGTGTACCGTTGATTCTTGATGATTTTATTTGGACTCTCAATTACGAACGAAACTCGTGGAAAGAATACAGTTGATGGAGAACGTTTTTTTTTTAATCCAGGGATCAATGATTTTTTGGGGGAAAAGAAGGGAGGGAAAACTCTTTCCAGTTTGAGTTCGTATCGTAATTGAAGATGCCCCTCGCTGGAATGTCTATTGATCTGGAAATAGGGCAGTTGTGGAGTTAGTGACAGCTTTTAGGTTAGGGGTGGAGGCGACCATAACACGTTTTCATTGCATCAGTTGACTTCTCACCTCTTATTCCAAGCACGTTAAACTTGTGCTGAAGATTTGTCCATCAATTTCAGATACATCACGACTGCTGGATTTAGCCCCGGGTTCATTAACACTAAATCGATGCAATTGTTCCTCTTATCGGCGCACAAATGACAAATAACAATGACTTTTGTTCACACTGTTCCACTGGATTACGAAATTAAAATGTTGTGGGAAATGTCTGTCCTTCAAGGTTTATTTAACACTACTGGGTTTTAGGGTTGGTTAGACTAGTGTCTTAATTATTCAGTGAATCACTAAGCAAATGCAATTGGTGTTTGTGTTATTGGACTTGTGGAAGTGATTTCAGAAAATTAAAAACACACTAAGCGTACGATACTGATGAACGTTTCCCGACGCCATTTTGTGATCAATAAAAAAAAAGGGATGACGAGAGAAGTTCTGGCGCTGTATGCTATGAACATTCATGTCATTTTTATCATTTCATTGTCGAACATGAAAAATGAAGAAAATAGGAAAAGTCTCATCATAATATTAAAATGTTTAGAAAATAGAACAGATTTAGTTGAAAAAAATGTATGAAAATATCAAACTCTGTTCATTTCAGTATTAAATTTATTGGGAGAGAAAAATTATATTTATCGCAATATTAAAATATATTTCCATATTTACAGAGGTATTTTCGTTGTACTAGAGTTCATCACTTTAAACGTCTTACAATATCTTACATTCATTTTCCTGTACAGTTCCAAAAGAAAAAATAACTTTTTCATCACTTATAGTACAAAAATTCATCTAATTGAAATTTCCTAAAGTATCTTACAATCGTCTTTTGCGCACAGCTCCAAAAGCGACAATAACTTTGCATTTCTTATCATTCATAGCTGAACTCGTGACAATGTTGGACTTCGTCGGAGTATTGACAGTAGTCACCTGATCCCACTTTCCAATTTTCCTCCTGCTGTCATCACCAGCAGGACCAACCGGTCGTTTAGTTGCACTAGTGGTCCCGTCAGCCTTCGCCTTGGATTTCTTGGAGAGCTTCTCCATACAAGCATCCTGGGTCTTCCCCAACTCCTCGTAGTAAGACTCCTGTCCCCACTTGAATGGATCAAAGTAGTCGAGGGAATAATTCGTACCTAATTCATTAATTTCACAAAATGAAACAAGTTTCGAGTAAATTGATGGGTTTTTGAAGTCCTTCCTGTTCTCTATTACGCCATTCAAGTCCAATCCATCAGTTTCCATTTTAATGTGGAAAGCTGCTATTTTTTCCTGTAATTCTGGTGGATACTTGCCCTCTGGCTCAGGTGGTATGAGATCATCGAGCATCGACTCATCATGAGACAATAACTGGATTTTTTTTTCTGTATTTGGGAAATTTTCATCTGGAATTACAGTCACTTCCTCGTGATGAACAAATGAATCATCAGGATCATATGACACTAATTGCTGCACATTTTTCAGTGTAGCATTTACTACAGGAGCTGTTAAACTATTTGTCTGTGGAATTGTGGGGGAATTTGAGGCTGAATTTGCAAATATGGGACTGACGATACCCTGGGGCTGACCAACCTGATTATTATGGGGGGCAGCCGCCTGGGATGGTACTGTATTAGCCTCATCATCGACATCAACATCATCCTCAGCTTCCGAGTCGGAATAGGCAACTGCTAGAGATGTTAGAGCTACACTTTGTACAGACATTGTTAGTTAGCTTTGAGATTCACGGTTTGCTACTCAACAATATGTGGAGGAGGTAACTCACCAGTCCAGCTTTTAAGTTTTTTTTTATTGATTACTTATTTTGTTTTAGTGGAATGATTTTTTTGGAGATATTGCCACGCGCGTTGATCAGACCTGCGAAGATTAAAGAAAATTCAATGAGGTTAGAAAATCATTCGGTGTTTCCGTAGAGTGTAAAGACATTAAATCTAATAACTCACCTTTTGTGCGAATTCCTTGAATCAATTGTACAAAATTGTTTATTTTTCTGCAACGTTATATCAGAAATATTATTCGAAATAAATGAAATGTGGAAACCAAATGCTACGTTGTTTTCGAAGAAAGATGCAAACACTGTATTTTGAGAAATATTTCATTTATTCTTTAAAACTCGTGGCAAAACTTGATCTTTTTATAGTTATTATATGGGTAATCACTGCCAGCAGCAGGGGGTTGTCATTTGTGACGGGAACAAGGAAATAAGGATCAGTTTATGTGGGGTTCTTTTGTCCTTCTTGCCACTAATTACAATATTACGAATAATAATTCATAGAGTCGTCACCAAAAGAGCGCATTCGCAATTCACCGCAGAGTCCGGGGGTGTGTTCCGCCAGGGAACAGTACAAGTCCAGTAATAGTGATTTCTAGTGCATTTTAGATTTGGTAACTAGCGGTTGGTACTGTTACTGGAGTTGTGTTTCACACGGCTAGTAACAGTAACAAGTGAT